TTCAGGAGTCATAATCGATAGCATTCTTGTCCTAGACTCGCTGTGCTGACGAGGACTGGAACGGGAATGGGAATGGGAATGGGAATGGTAAGGGGAACGGGAATGAGAGTGGCAAGAGGAATGGGAATGGGAATGGGAATGGGAATGGGAATGGGAATGGGAACGGGAATGGTAAGGGGAACGGGAATGGGAATGGGAATGGGAATGGTAAGGGGAACGGGAATGGGAATGGGAATGGGAATGACATGGGTACAATAAAAATGGAATCGGTTTCCGTGCAAGAGATTTATTTTTTTTATTTGTTGAATGTTAATTATTTATATATATATATATAATATATGTAAAAAAAAAATATATGTATATATTTACGATATAATCTACAACGAGAAAGAAAGAAATATATAGACGTAAGAACTATTAAGGTCTCCAGTTTACCGACGACCTTCAATCCGTCAGTTGAGTAAACAACAACCTCGCGACAGGTCTACGGAATAATTTTAAGGGCAATAACTTAATATAATCAATGAAATCAATAATCAATAAAATGGATGTAAGTGTAATAATCAAGAAATAATCAAGAACGTAAAAATCAAGTAATGACTGTAAACGCAATAACTGTGGAGTAACTATACATGTAATAATCAAGAAATAACTATAAACGCAATAAGTGAGGAATGACTATAAACTTAATTATTAAAAAAACACTATAAATGCAACAACTAAAGTGTAATTATAACTTTAATAAATAAGGAATAATAATAACCGCAATAACTAAGGAATAACTATAAACACAATAATCAAGACATATACATACACAATAACTAGAAAATAATAAAGAAAAATGCGTAGACTATATACTATATACGGAATAAACGCGGAATATCTAGAAAATAAACGTAACCGCAATAACTTTGGAATAATCATAACTGCAATAACTTTGGAATAACCATTAGCACAATAACTTTGCAATAACTATAAGCGCAATAACTTTGGAATAACAATAAGCGCAATAACTTTGGAATAACAATAAGCGCAACAACTTTGGAATAATCACAAGCGCAATAACTTTGGCATAATCATAAGCGCAATAACTTTGGAATAATTATAAGTGCAATAACTTTAGATTAATAATAAACGCAATAACTTTGGAATAACCATTAGCACAATAACTTTGCAATAACCATAAGCGCAATAACTTTGGAATAAACATAAGCGCAATAACTTTGGAATAATCATAAGCGCAATAACTTTGCAATAACCATAAGCGCAATAACTTTGCAATAAACATAAGTGCAATAACTTTGGAATAATCATAAACGCAATAACTTTGCAATAACCATAAGCGCAATAACTTTGCAATAACCATAAGCGCAATAACTTTGGAATAACCATAAGCGCAATAACTTTGGAATAAACATAAGCGCAATAACTTTGGAATAATCATAAGCGCAATAACTTTGCAATAACCATAAGCGCAATAACTTTGCAATAACCATAAGCGCAATAACTTTGGAATAATCATAAACGCAATAACTTTGGAATAACAATAAGCGCAATAACTTTGCAATAACCATAAGCGCAATAACTTTGGAATAATCATAAGCGCAATAACTTTGGAATAACCATTAGCACAATAACTTTGCAATAACTATAAGCGCAATAACTTTGGAATAACAATAAGCGCAATAACTTTGGAATAATTATAAGTGCAATAACTTTAGGTTGATAATAAATGCAATAACTTTGGAATAATCATAAACGCAATAACTTTGCAATAACCATAAGCGCAATAACTTTGGAATAATCATAAACGCAATAACTTTGGAATAATCATAAACGCAATAACTTTGCAATAACCATAAGCGCAATAACTTTGCAATAACCATAAGCGCAATAACTTTGGAATAATCATAAACGCAATAACTTTGCAATAACCATAAGCGCAATAACTTTGGAATAATCATAAACGCAATAACTTTGGAATAATCATAAACGCAATAACTTTGCAATAACCATAAGCGCAATAACTTTGGAATAATCATAAATGCAATAACTTTGGAATAACAATAAGCGCAATAACTTCGGAATAATCATAAACGCAATAACTTTGGAATAACAATAAGCGCAATAACTTTGCAATAACCATAAGCGCAATAACTTTGCAATAAACATAAGTGCAATAACTTTGGAATAATCATAAACGCAATAACTTTGCAATAACCATAAGCGCAATAACTTTGCAATAACCATAAGCGCAATAACTTTGGAATAATCATAAACGCCACAACTTTGGAATAACTATTAACGCAATAGCTAGGCTTCCTCTATGGCCAAGGCTAAGGTATTTGACCTTTTGTGTGACGTTCGATAAGGGATCCAGTTCTAAGCTCTTTCATATTTATAAGGGATTGCACGCTGTTCGGTTTAGGGACTGGAAGGTTGTTGTTTTCGGTGTTTATAGCGAGGTCTTAATACACACACACATGCACATACACACACAAACACACGTACATACATACACACACAAACACACGCACATACATGCGCACACAAACACACGCACATACGTACACACACAAATACACGCACATACACACACACACAAACACACGCACGTACATACACACACAAACACACGCACGTACATGCACACACAAACACAAGAACGTACATACACACACAAACACATGCACATACGTACACACACAAACACACGCACATACATACACACACAAACACACGAACATACATACACACACAGGTAGGTATGTCTCCTACTTATTTGGTCATATATATGTATGTTTATGAATTTATCTCTATGTACGTGTTTTTGTTTATCTGTGTATCTATGTGTGTATCTATATCTGTATATCCATATATCTTTGTGTATATCATTGTCTGTTTCATCTATCTTTATCTCTCCTTTTAATCTATGCATGTATCTTTATATTATCTTTATATTTCAATATAGATTCAAATTTAAAACAAAAATAAAACATAAAAGGATTGAACATCAGAAAGCGTTTACGAACCAATAAAATCCTTTTATATGGGACTGGATCCGTTTGGTGAAATGTGTATAAATGGATTGACTATGAATTTTGAAGTCACTCCATTCAAGTAAACTGGATAAAATGAATCGACTATGAATTTGGTAATAGTTCTATTTCTACTAAATCAGTAGACTGGATAAAATGCCAGATTGGGATATATAATGATCGTAATTCTATTTGTTGAATATAATTTGCGATAAGAGAAACAAAGCATAAGCGCATTGCGTCTATTGGACTTTGTTTTGAAGTGTTACATAATATATGGATATATTCTGCACTGTCGCCTGGTATGTATACACGCACTCAGATAGAAATACGCTACGTGCACGCACAGACACTCCCAAACACACACACACACACACACACACACACACCCGCACATACACACACACAAACACACACGCACACACACACACACACACCCTTCCCCACACACACACACACACACACACACACACACACACACACCCTTCCCCACACACATACACACACACACACGCATACCCCCCCCCACACACACACACATATACACCTTCCCCCCACATACATCACATACACCGCACACCATATTCACATAAGGGGGGGGGGGGGTCACTAGGTGGTCATCATTATCCCTTGTTCTTTTTTTTCATTTTAATAATAGTTAATCCTCATGTTTCATCGTTACCCTGAAGAATCTCCTACCTAATTAATTAACGATGGATTTGGCAACAAAATCTACGTTGATTGGCCTATATAAAATGATTCAATTAAATTCAATATCCTGTTGATATTTGAGGCTGCAATGGAACTAAACAGACGAACAAAAACAAATTGCAGAAATGATGCATTGTTGCAATAAAAGCTGGAGAACAAAATACGTTTATATAGATAGAAAAACGGTTAAATTGTCTGCCACAATATAAACGGGAAAAAAGTAATTCTTCTAAAATATAAACGATAAGAAAAAAGGTAATACTCTGTGGTACAAAATAAACGAAAAAAAAATATTGTTTGGAACAATATAAACGGAGAAAAGAAAAAAAAAAAAAAAAAAAAAACAATGCAGCAGACGATGATAAACAAACTAAAAAACAACAACACCAAAAAAAGCTTTATACCAAACCAGCGTTTCATTTCATCACTACGCCAAGTGGTATCCTTACAACCGCACTGAAATTAGAAGCTTATAAGAGCCCCCCCCCCCCCACCTAAAAAAGGAAGAAAAACATTAAAAAAAAATTAAAAAGTCTTTGAAAACCCACCTGCAACCGCTGCGTGTTGGGAGTCATCAGCTGTTCTCTCATCTGTTCCCACTCGGTAGCCATGGTGACGTCATGATCTCAGTTTTGGCTCCACAAAGTTCCGATGTTCGAACTCTTTTTTTTTTTGTCTTTCTGTCTTATTAAATAGTTGTTTCTCTTTGGTTCGATGGTTGTTTTGTTGTTCTTTCTATGGAAAATGGTTGTCTCTTTCTCACTTCTTTCTTTTTTGAGCTAAATGGTTGTCTCTTTGCGGGAAAAAATTGGTTGGTTGGATTACGTGCGTTTGGTGATGTCGAAAAAGGGTGATGAACATTCCTTTTATTTTTATTTTTCTCTAGTGCACGAGTGTCAGGGAAAGGTTTCTGCCATGGTGGTATGGTGCTCCATGGTATGGTAGGATGTGTATGGTACCTTTCCCTAATGTTGTGAATACTGAAGGCTGGATTTTATTTTTTCTTGTAGACACACCGATTTTCTGCTTGTTATTTCTAAGAACTGTTTTTCTTCCTTTCTTTCTTTCTTTTCACACTTATGTCATTACTACGTATTTATCTACTGCATGTTTTTTTTTCTTCTTCTTTATACATCTACTTATCAAGTTTTTTTAATTACAATTGTCCACAGTGAGTCGTATGCTATGATTCACTTAGTGTTTAAATCAAAATAGTTTCACAGAATTTTTGCACATTGATATCAATCTTCC